GTAATTGAAATAGTTACACTACCTATTACATTTTAAATAGGGTAACTTGTAATCTGTAACCTATTACATTTCCAAAGTAACCTTCCCAACACTGACTGTATAAGATTTATTTATTTATTTAAATACTATAATCATAGTAACACGTTTTATATTGCCATTGTTAGGTTTCCATTACATTAAGTTCAGTGCTTCATGGAGTGAGCAGATTATTCACTTAAGATTTTTATTTTTTTACTTTAAAACAAAGTTTGTCAGGTTTGTGGAAGCCTGTTTCCACCACTGAATAAAAAAAAAAAAATACTTTTTTTCCTCAGAACTGCAAGTTCATATCTTACAAATCAGTTTATATCACACAGTTCTTAGAAAACAGACAGAATTGCGAGATGTAAAAAAGTTAGAAATGTGAGATAAAAAGTTACCTTTTTTTATTATTACTATTCAGTAGTGGAAAAGTGCTTCCATACATGTTTCATCTGGAAGCGTGTCTATTTTTTACACACATAGAGAAAATGATTGTGAAATAGTTCCAGAAGCAAGGCTGCTGAGAAAGTGGGTTGTCACTGGTGTGCTGTATAGCTGTTTAAAGAGAGTATGCGTTCATGACTATGTTTCTTAGTTCACCCAAAAATGAAAATTATTTCATAATTTATTCACTCTCATGTTGTTCCAAATCTATAAGACTTTGGTGACAAATTAAGATATTTTTACATAAATCTGAGAGGTTTCTGTCTCTCCATTGAAAGACCAGGTAACCAAAACTTAGAAGATCCAAAAAAGCAATAAAGGCATCAAAAAAAAAATTTATAAATTTGAATGAATTCATATTTGAATAAAAGGTGAAATTAAGTCTCGTCATTATAAAAAAAAGTGATTCTTTCCACAAGACTTGGATTAAACCATTCAATTCACATGGATTAATTTAAGAAGCCTTTTCAGCTTTTTGGATCTTCTGCGTTCTTGGATCTTTTAAGTTCATCTACACATATTATGTCAGCTTACATGTATTTGAGCCCCTTTGCAAACCAATTTGAATGAGTTGCTTTGACCCAGTAACCTGGTTTATGCAAGAGACCACCTCACTTACAGAGCTGACATTTATAGAACCAACGATTTGCAGACCAGGATCAAAAAAACCTTTACCTGTGCCTGAGGATTTGCATAAATTAACTGAGCATTGGTTAAGAAAAAAAGGTATTTACAGTATTGTCTATTAAACCCCGGGTGTTACGGTTAAAGGCACTCGCATTTTGACATTTCATATCGAAATAAGATCAAAAACCTTTGGTGTTCGGAAATGAATTTTAACGGAGCCCAACCTGCATGAGATTGTGATGCGTTTATTGCTCTTTTTCCATTTTCTGTAGATGAAAGATGTGGGTGGCTGAAACCAGCCCAGAATTCATAATGAAATATCAGAAGCCAGTTTAGCAGCAGGTCTGTGGTGGTTTACACATTTTCTGCTGAAGCATCTGCTCACAAACACCAGCGGCTTTGGATTTGGCAGTTCAAGT